AAAAGGCCTTACTATACTATGTCGTTTTTTTCGTGCTAAAAACGCCTTACTATACTATGTCGTTTTTTTCGTGCCAAAAACGCCTTACTATACTATGTCGTTTTTTTCGTGCCAAAAACGCCTTACTATACTATGTCGTTTTTTTCGTGCTAAAAACGCCTTACTATACTATGTCGTTTTTTTCGTGCCAAAAACGGCATACTATACTATGTCGTTTTTTTTTGGGCTAAAAATGCCTTCCTATACTATGTCGTTTTTTTCGTGCTAAAAACGCCTTACTATACTATGTCGTTTTTCTCGTGCCAAAAAAAGGCTTCCAAACATGGTCGTTCTTTTTCAGTAAAAAAACCCTTACTGTAGGTTTGGCAAGTTTAAAAATAAGAATTTCGAACCTTCACCCTTGTTCAAAACCCAACTCCGCATCCGAAAAGTAGAAGCTGCTTGTGAGGCACAACTGCGCACTGGCAATGACGTTCAAGTCGTCCTACTGGTGATGCACGAGAAATAACCTGATTTTTGTAGAATGCTTTTGAAAATGTTCGAGAAAAAATGTCATCCAAGCAAAACTTTCACAAATGAGCAAGAATGTGTATTAATAAAAAAAATCAGCAAATCCATTACCGTGGAGATTTTTTTTCATTCACGTTACAAGTCAGACATAATGACACTCATTTTAATTTCCCATTGAAAACATGTATTAATGTATTTATTTTTTTAATCACAACAAACCAAAATCAAGGTCAGGACCGCAGCACGGGATGAGGCAACAGGGCGTTATGCAGTGTCCACCACCTGCCACTGGGTGTCGTTCAGAAGCCGGTAGTTCAGCTTGCGGTAGCTGTCGGGCTGAAGCCCCCGCTGCCGCCACACTTCCTCGAAAAGGCTGCGCACGACCGGAGGCGGCGGCGCGAAGCCGGTGTCGGCGGCCAGCTCGGCGAGGTATTCCCACTGGTCCCCGCCCATCACCAGCAGGTGGCGCCGCGCCGCACCGCCATCCGCCTTCTTCTGCAGCGCGAGCCGCGCCTCCGCCGCCATCTGGGCTCGCGACGGCAGCGCCGGCGAGCCGGCCAGTGCGCCCAGCGCGAACTGGACCTGACGGATGGACGCAACTGTTAACACGATAGAATTGACTCTTGCGCCCGAGCCCCGCCCCCTCATCACCTGGCAATGGAAGTTGGTGAAGGGGCAAATGCTCTTGCAGAGCCCGATGAAGACGAGCGAGGGGAAGGCGGGCGGCATCATGAAGCGGTAGAGCGGCGCCACCAGCTGCTCCTCCAGCTCCAAGCCCAGGCGGCCGCCATCCAGGAAAGGAAAGCTGAAGTTGTAGCCCGTGCAAAAGAGCAGCACGTCGGCGGCGCGCACCGAGCCATCCTGGAATGCCACATGCTGCGTTGGAGCGTACGATCTATGGGTTGTTTGTATTGAATCGTTGCCAAGCATAGACGGTCGCCGGTATAACATGGCTTCGCAATCGTGTACATGCCAGAATCCAGCATGCGAGATCTGGATGTTTTATGACCGATGCCATGGCACTTTTTGCTCACCTGGAAACAAATTCTGCCATCGTCCTGGACGGCCACCGGCGGACTCGACTGGCGGATCTCAGCCGGAAGAGCAGCTACCAAAGGGGGACCGCGGTGACTCAGCGTCACCTGCGAGGAAGGACAAACGCCAATTAGGATGGACGGCGTTGCTGCAGTGCTGACAAATAGACTTTGTTGCACGACAAAGCTTGTAAGTCAAGTCAAAGCATTGAAATGAATTGAAATCCCATTAATCCGTTCTGGCGTGGCCAATTCAAATAAAAATCCCGGCATAACATTTTTACCTGGGCGCCCGCTTTGGCTAACTCCAAGGAAATGTCAATGCCCGACGCTTTGGCTCCCAGGACCACCACCGATCGAGACGAGAAGGGTTCTGCACTCCTGTACGTGTGACTGTGGAGAACCTGTCCTACATGAAGCCAATCGGGGAAGTCTTTTGAACTTGAGCAAGTTAGCAGCGTTGACCATCACATGGACGTTTAAGGACTCGCCTTTGAAGTTCTCAAGGCCGGGCACGCTGGGGATGTTGGGCTCCGAGTAATGCCTGCGGCACAAATGGCTGAGCGTGAGCAACACCCGCAGGCGCCCGGCAGCTAGCGTCTCCCGTTAGCGTCTCGTCTCACCCGGAACACACAAAGACCGCATCGAAGGTGGCGGTGGTCCGGCATCCCGATGTGTCGCACGCCGTCACCTCCCAGGTGGTCCGTGTCCGATTCTCACCGTCCTCCGTTGTCACCACGGCGGGCTTCACCTCCTCCACTGCGCTGTGGAACTGACACGGACTCAATGATACCATATGTCGAGCTCCGACAACGAGAACAGCATCAGATCGAGACACAAACGAGACCTACTATCAGAACTCGAGAGAGAAGTAGCTCTCAAGCAAGGGTGTCCAAGTCCAGTGCTCAAGAGCCATTACCCAGCCCGTTTTATTTTGTTTCCGTCCTTCTGCGTTACTGACGGAAATGGTCAGGGTCGTTATCAGACTTCTGGAGGGCTCGCCTGACTATACATGGTCGTTTTTTTCGAGCTAAAAACGCCTTACTATATATACATGGTCGTTTTTTTCGGCTAAAAACGCCTTACTACACATGGTCGTTTTTTTTCAGGCTAAAAACGCCTTACTATCCATGGTCGTTTTTTTCGAGCTAACAATGCCTTACTATACATGGTCGTTTTTTTCGGCTAAAAACGCCTTACTATACATGGTCGTTTTTTGGGGCTAAAAATTTCGGCTAAAAACACCTGACTATACATGGTCGTTTTTTTCGGCCAAAAACGCCTTACTATACATGGTCGTTTTTTTT